TCGAGCCCGAGCTCGTTTAAGTCGTTCTAATGTTTATAATTTGTAGTCGTGTATCATAGCCAAATTCGTTGTATCGCGCTAGGCGTTTGCAAACTTCGAATGGGTTTTTCTGTTCCGTCACTCTCTTGAGTGGGGTGGAGTTAATGCAAATCACAATGCAACGCACTCGCTCAGCTTGGCCGGCAAAAACAAAACTGCGAATGACTTTAGGCTGCTCAAGAATAGCGAAGGAAATCGCGATGATGAATGGAATTTTTTGTCTAGGGCAGGAGGCAAACCTTGCTTTATTTTTCCAATGCAAGAGACAAGAATGAGAAAGTTCAGAAAATCTTCGAAGAAAACTAGTCGATTATTGTCCGAAACAGGGCCCCCATCACAGAAACAAAAACAAAGTGGATCGAAATGCACCAATCACAAGTAAACATGTGTCTCCTAAGAGGTTCGCTAAGATGATTGACGGAACAGAAAAACCCAAAATCCTTCGAAGTTTGCAAAATGCGCAGCGCGATACAACGAATTTGGCTATAAGTCCATCGCACATTTCTCAATGAATGCACTGCACAACAACTGAGCATGTACCGTACAGGGAGGGCTTATAAACGGAGGGGCTTATAACCGAAGTAAGTACAAAAAGCACCTCGAAACAGTTTAGGGCAGTGCTTATCAACATACGTTTTGGTCAGATTGGGTGACGGGATTAAATAAAGGAAGGACCACATCGCGGAAAAACAGTAATATAATCAACCTTATATGTATGAATCTATACAGGTATAGCGGCCAAATATCACTTCCTATTTCTCTGGAGAAGGGAAAATATTATTACATGGAAACTATAATGAAAGACGATCATCAAAATGATCACTTAGAAGTTGGAATGCAGACACCTGACGGGAAAAATTAAACAGTGATACCCTCGGCATTCTTGAGGACCAGTTTGCCTGTTCCACCAAGTAAGTCTGGCAAGTTATGTACTGTTTGAAGCCAACAAATCACAAATAACTGTAAAAGAATTATACAAATGAACTTCTCCTAAACAGCCACCATAAATGCCAGGTTTCGATCGGTGGTCGGCAAAATGTATCTCACTTGAAAGAGTTCGGTAGGAGGAAACTGTCAAGTTTAAAGGGCCCTGCAACTCGGCTGTCGACTCACGGTACGAGCCGTATGTGTAGAAAAAGTCATTGCCAAGTGTAATATAAAGAGTCCATTTAACAAATTGTTGGTTCGCACGTGTCGTACGAATAGATAGCCTAATAGATGGAATCATTTTTTACTTGGAAGATCCGGCAGAGTGACGTTATTTGTCGAACGGAAAAATGCATCTCATTTAAGAGAGCTGGAAATTGCCCAGCAATGGCCACACAACGAGTTGTCGACTCGTATGAGCCGTATATATAAATAGAGAAATTGAAAATCATGGCCAACTGCGAAAAAGGAGTTGTCACAAAAGAATGTTCAAAGGGCTAAGAGAAGGGTGTGCCCTATTCTACATTCGTCTCGAGATCATCCCCGCGGGAAACGTGGATAAAGATACTTCTCACGGTTCATTGGATTTTTCGTGTTTTTTTTCGTATGACTGCTGAACGAAGCCCAGAACTCGTCTGCCGCCGGTCATCGCCGCGGCAGCGATGAACGCATAATAAGCTCGAATAATGCATCTCATTTAGAGAGACTTCAAAGATCTTTAAATGATTTGAGGGGCTCTGCAACAAATTGTCCTCTCGTTCGAATTTAACGAGTGGAAAGATTGAATCTTTGTGGACTTGACATAATATAAGTTCCCAAACGATAAAATTGCGTCTCATAATATATCAGAAGGTTAGCATGAAATTCTCCAGCACGTTGATTTAAGGTGCTCTGCGACAAACTGCTTGTTCGTGCGATTGCACGAATAAACATCTGGTTTGTTTTTGACTCGACAGAATAAGTTGTCGAACAGAAAATGGATGCATTTTCGATTGGTAAATTTTCCTTTGTCGATAGGAATGAACGAAAGGAAAATTTACCAATTGAAATGGAATGGACTCACACCATTATCAACTAAAAGACCCAGAAACATTTGTGCGTAGTAAAATTCTCACCCAATTAAATTCTTGCAAGATATCTCTAGAGGCTTGACAAGGAACGCCCACTTTAGCGGTCGGAGCTATCAACTCGCTAATTAAAGCAGAAAACAACTAACCATGTAGCTTTATTTCCCGCCAGTGAAAGGCATTGGAACTCTAAAATTAGCTATAGCATTCTCCAACTCTAGTAACGTCGGCCACCAGCCGCAATGTATGTGTTTTTAGACTTCATTTAGAATTTGCCTCTGCTGTACGACATATCTACCAGCAAGATCACATAGACAAGGTTGGAGCGGTCAAGAGACGAGCAGGAAGATTTATAAAACAAGATTAAGACTGGAATCCTAGGGTGTCGCCAATGATGCGTTTATTGTTCATAGAATTTTCGAAAGAAAGAAGAAAAATCAACAGTTTCCAACATTTTACGTACCAAGCACTCACTACAAGCAGTCGCAAGGCACTCGACGTATATTCAACCCAGCGCTCGCTGACTATCATTTGTTTAGCTTCCTTCCGAAAAATGGAATAATGAAAATGGAATCTTATCCCTTCGATGATAAGAGCAGAAAGTTACTTTGCTTTTGTACGGGGGAAATCATCTAAGCAATGATTTTATAGTTAATCTTATATAGTATTTGTTTATTTATTTTATTTTTCTTTCTTTCCTTGTTTTCCCATTTGGGTAAAAAATTAAGGGAGGCTGGACTTTACGAGGTATCCCACACTTCAACAACCGTAATACCACAGAAGTAGCTGGTAGTCAAATCTACCGTTTTATTATTATTATTATTATTATTTTAATTTGTTTAATTTTTTCAACTGACATTTCGACAACATCTGCTAGGTGTCCAGCAGGTAGCTCATCTTACTTCAATGTCTGGCTGACAAAAAGTAATTTAACCATCGCAAATAACAAAAGGTGAAACGTCCTTGTTGAGTCGTCAACTAGCGAAGTACAATGAAGCATTTAACTGCAGTTCTTTACTGCGCAGTATACACTTTGATTTTTCAGTTTTCAAAAGGGCGCCAACAAAGGGAAAAACAGCACGTATCAACAGGTACGTTAAGTGCTTTTAGCGCCATTGTAATTATTATGTTAATGTGTTTCGTTCTCGCGATCCAATGGTTACATTCTATGCCAGTCTTTCAACTAAAATGAACGTAATAAGATTAGGAAAACTTACAAAAACGATAAAGAAAGTAAACGATCGTATCTATAGTACTTTTTATAATAACAGAACAGTAAAATGTCGAAGTCGATCTAGTGTTAATACCTAGAGATAAATCGATCTCAAAATGGTTTTAGCTGCCTCAGTCTGAAATGTATCTAATTCTTTATTTGTGTTAAATCTAGACCACAGAGGGTCAATGTCTGCAGGAAAGAGCGGTTCAACTTTCGAAAGCACTTATTTTTCACTATTTCTTATTAACAAACTGAAGTTCCAAATTACAAAAAAAGCATTTCAGAATTAAGTACAAAAAAATCTCAAAGAAGGATAGCCAGGAAGATTCAGCCCAGTTCTGAGAGACGGGCTTATTTGCTTGATTAAAAGGAGTGATTGTGTTTTTGTGCTTATCCTAGAGGCTGAACATGGACTGGTTAGAAAGCGGCGAACATTTGGTTCCTGGGAACCACCGTGCAACCGTAAGTAATATCATGAACTGAATCACCGTAAATCCTCTATTAAGCCCCCCTCTCAAATAATCCCCCTCCCTCTAATAAGCCCCCCTTTTCAGGGGAAGAAAGTTAATAAGCTCCCCTCCCCTCCCCTAATTATTCTTCACTAATAAATGATATACTGTATCAATCAATCACGACCCCCCGACTGTTAAACTTCGTGTATGTGACAGGGGTACCATATTTGCTAATAAAAGGTAGACGAAAGGGGTCCGTTTTCTGTCAAGATGGTATAGAAAAGGGTAAAGGGTTGGACCCCTGGGAGTAGTTTCCCGGTATAAAGCTTTGTCTAGTAGCCCTCCCCCCCCCCCGCCCTCCCTCGGGCTCTGATGTTCGGCCGTGCATGTTGCAGAAGGAGAGAAGGTCCTGGCTGACAGTTGTCTCGAACGATCGCTAATAATTACCTCGCCGCGATTTATTCTGCCACTATTCACCTCGATTTGAAAGAAAAATTGCTAATTCAAATATATGGGACTTTTATAAACCCAATTCCCAAATGATAAACGGCTCGGCGTGTGCTGTATATAGAGCTATTGATGCACGATACCGGCTTGCTTATAAGCACAAAAGAAACGTAGTAGCTAGTTGTTTGAGATGATAGCCACCTTTAGCAATTTTTTATGACACTGTAAACAGTCAGAAAAAAAGGATAAAATTTTTCTGACCGTCATGGGAGCTAATAACAACAAAAACCGTACTTTTCTAGATAAGTTTTTTTCTGTGGGAGCCCATAACCCGGAGTGATCACCTCCTTTGTGTCCATGCAGTGGCGTTTCCATAAACCAGTTTATTTCTAGATCGATTTTCCAACGAAGTTTGGCTATCAAATAAGTATTATAAATCGAGATACAAAAGGTTGTGACCAGAAAAAAATATTTCAGTGAATGACGTTTGGGCATTTGCTTAGGCTTGACATCAGGCTAAAAAACAATGAGAAAAAACAAACTATATTAGCCTCGGAGTTGCATTTACTGAGCTCTATTTAAAAGATCTTTCACAATTGTAATTTCCAAGTGTCAGTAGCCATTGTGACACTCTCTCAGTCTCTAAAAAAATGTTTGCACTTGTAAGGTACACTTCTTTAAAAGTTTTATACAATTTACCACTGCAGTAAGCATACCCCAGCTTTTTCACTGAGCTTGGTGACCCGGTCCGAGCCCCTCCTCAGCTTCACTAAAGTAGTAAATAGGGGTAATTGACACGCAACGCGCGCGAATTTACTTTTGTTTTATTAATATTTGCAACATACCAGTGAGAATGTTTCCATTTCAGTTACCAACGGCATCTATTTAGAAAGATGGGACCGGATAGATTATAAGCGTATACAATTCCTCTTCACGGACCCTCGTTATCCAAGGCTGCCATCGGACACAATCTGTCTTCCTGATTTCCAGCAACCGCAGAATTGGGCTGATTATTTCGGTGCTCGAGCAAGGACGTATTTTGTTCCACAGCAGACCGGAATCTACCACTTTATGCTCTGTAAGTCCATTTGACGATTCGTACTTAAGGATATGAAAAAGAACTTGTTCGTTTAGTTTCCTCTCTAACTACGTCAGGGAATTACTCATTCCCGTCTGTTCTCTCTTTACACATATATGTGCTTATTGTGGTAAGATTAGATTTAGGAAAAGTTTTTTTACTTTCTTCCTGAATTGGCGCTACTAAGAGGCTGACAATTCATTACTAGAGTGATCAAGAAAATATATGTTCTGCAAAGGCAAGCATGATGGCTCGTTTAGCCTGTTTCAGGGACTTCCAGGCGTTCAGGGAGTTTTCAGATAGTGGAGAGTGGACGCGCGAAATGGAGAGTGGAGAGAGAAAAGAAGACCAAAGGAAGTGGAAAAGAAGAGGGAAGGGTTTGTGCTCTCCTAACCCCCACCCTCCCCACGCTGTTTTTTCGTGCTCACTTTTCTTTGCCCCTTCCTCACAATCTGAACGCCTGGAGCAGGCTATCGTTCACCTGAAAAACTCTAAATGAAAGAAAAAACAAACAAACAAACAACAACACAAAAAAACCGCCTGCTCTGCAGGCTAACCAATTCCCAGCCAAGAGAGAGCTTCAGCAACCTTCACGACGACTTCTGTGAAAACGTCGCTAAGAAATGAATGTTTGTTGTTTCAAGCGTATAGTTAGACGTGAGTGATTTTTCCTGGAGTTGAATTCTTAAAGACTGTATTTAGGTTTAAACAGAGAAATTCATAAGTCGCACTGGGAAGTTTGAAAGTCATAGTCGTGCAGTGGGCGCCAAAGAAATGTATGAAAAAGTGTGATACACGTGCAGAACTGTACTCCTCCCTGCAAAAACAAATGAGCCCGTTTAACGCCCTTAGCGGCGAGAAGCAGGGAGAAAGGCTGTATTCGCAGGCTGGTTTTTTCGAAAGTTCAGGTAACTTTTCGGACCCTGAAAGCCGTTTCACGTTTGCCGTGTTTACATTCAAGATCGACGTTCTAATAGTTTTTAAAATTATACAATGAAGCTATCAGCTAACAAAACAAATTTGAATAGTAGCTCACAAACTATCCAATTTTCCTTCGTCAACTGATATTTTAATCGTATCATGTTCAAAAGTGTTCATTATTTATCCTTGATTGAAGGGAAGGGGCGCATTTTCTACTGATCCACTTTCAATATCTTTAAAACTGCCCCCTCGGGCATCCCCCTATATCCCTTATATAAGTGCAAATAAATAATTCAAACGATGTGATATTCAAGAATTGTTTTGGCCTCACTCTTCTTCCAGATTTGGTGCTTGAAGCTGTACTGGGCTAGGAGCCTAATAATCTCCTGACTAGGTATAGTAACGTCTGTAAGCTCACTTTCATTGTCGGTTGATTCACTGTCAAAATCGCTATCTGTTAGGTCCTGCATCACCAGTGTCAACCTCTGTTAAAACCACAGGTTTCCAGAGTTACTCGCCTATAAACAGCAGGCTTCAACCTTTAAGGAAAACTGATGAAATCTATAAAGCTCAAAAGTTTGAGACAGCCAAGTTAGTGTTCCTTCAGCACATATGAAGACCCATATGACAATGTATCTGGGTAGAGTAGCTGTTCACCTTTGATTCCAGCCTTCAAATGCTCAAGTGTTGTAAAATACATTAGTATTATGATTATTATTATTGTTATTACAAGTTTGACATCTACCCCCACTAACTATGTTGACACAGTAACTATCCCCCCAAACCCCTCCCCCCAAGGAAGCACTTCAAACGCTTCTGCCCCCCTCATGATTTTGCCGAGCCCCCGCCTCCCCCAACGGGATAAATAATGAAGACTCCTTTATTGTAACTTTGATCTTGAACTGATGCAAACACGGCAAACACAAACAGTTTTCAGGGCCCGATAAGTTACCGGGACTTTCGAGAAATGGGCCAGCCAGGGAGAACGGCGGAAATCGAGGCTTAGCCTGCGTAGCACGGCAGTTTTGGTTGGGCGCATTCAGTAAATAAGGGCGGGCGAGGGCAGAGAAACAGCGAGAAGATTGGGGCGGGAGCAACTTGGTTTCTATTTATGTCGCAGCTTCGCCGCTCGTTCTCGCGCCTTCGTTGCTCGTGCGCACGGCTAGACGAAACCGCCATGCTACGCAGGCTAATCGAGGTTAGGCCGACGTACCCGCGTTTTGCTCATAAGATCACAGGCTGTCCAGACGTAGTGTGTGTCAATATATTAATATTCACATGGACAAAATGTGATGAATCGTTCAAACTCCCATGAACTAGAATAGTCCAAAAGTCAAAATATAACAAAACAAAGCTAAGTTTAACTGAACGTCTCCTTCTCCTGGCCGGTTAAAGTGGCATTTTGTTGACTTTTACAATCGTAGGTACTATCCATTAGAGAACCTACAATTGCAAAACTCAACAAAATGCCACTTTAACCAGCCAGGAATAAGAAGGAGACGTTCAGTTAAAGTTATCTTAGCTTTGTTTCGTTATAGTTTGACTTTTGGACAATTTTAGTTCATGGAAGTTTCGACGACTCATCCCATTTTGTCCATGTGAATATTAATATATTGATACACACCACGTCTGGGCCGCCTGTGATGAAATCAATTGGTTTTTGACGTTCCCGTTGCAGCCGTTGTCGTAGTTGCTTAAGCCTCCTAATAACGGCTGCGAAAGAAAATTTTACTGATTGTACTCGATAACTCTTTTTTCAGCTTCTGACGCTGGAAGCGAGCTGTTTGTTAGTACCAATGAGAAACCTGACTCAAAGTCAAAGATTTCTTACATAGCAGGAGGATTTCCAACTTATCCATATGAGTTTGACAGGTGAGATAAAAGCTTCTATTTATAGTATATTTTGTAAATGTTTGCCGCACCTTAAACAGAATAGACTGTGCAGGATAGTCAGAGAAGGCAATCTTGATTTCAAATTACGGACTTTAATGCAGGATTCTGGTCCCTTTCACTACACTTAAAACCAAGATGGCTGCCCCTGTCGGTCAGCGCTCGATCTCCACCTTTACGGAAAAATGGGGGACTGAGAATAGTCTACTGGAGTATCAGACTAAAGGACTGAAGGGCGCAACGTACCATGTTATTGATTTCAGTTTCTTTTGGCCGAAAACAGCGAACCCAACACAGCTTAGTGTTAAGAGAATAAAAATTAACAAGTCATATTTACTCATTCCTGGATCTTAAGAGACAGGAATAAATTTTGATATATCGAAACGAGACGAACATTAGTCTTAATTGATCTAAGAGCCCTTTGGTCTCCGAACAGGTTAGTACATATGGATCACCCAAAAGACGCTTTAATAAACTTTTGCTCCCGATCAAGAAAAGAGGATAAAAAGCGCCTCGCCAGTACCAGGTTAGCCTGTTTACGGCCTCTCCCTCCTCTCTCTAATCCCGATTCTATGGAGCCGTAGCAACGACGACAGCGACAGCGACGAGAACGGCAAAAAGGCAGTAGGTTAATAAGCAAAACAGCAACTCTGCACGTGCATCTCTCTTTATCTGTACATTTCGTTGCTTTCACTGCACGAGTACGGGGTGAAATTCTTTTTCTGCAACGTTTTACGGAGGACGCAAACTTAGGACGACGAATTTCTCTTTCTGTTTTTTAAACTTAGTGTTGGTCTCTAAGAATTCAATTCCAGGAAAATTCACCGACAAATGGCATGTTGGACGAGTTGGAGAAACCGCATCAAAGTCTGAACAAAAGCGCAGTCTCTTTGGTAGCGACGTTTTTGCTGACGTCATCGTTGTCGTCGTCGTTTCTAAAGTTCCCTTCTGTTAGACGGGGATCGATGGAAGTGGCTGCGAACAGGCTTATACAGAGTGAGCGGGAGGGAGGGGGTGCTTTGAGCGGCAGTTTACCGAATTCATACCTGAACCTCAAGCCTCAAAGATAGGAATAAATTTATATGTTCTCTTTAGTTATCTTATTAATCTAAGAGCCTCTAAGGCTCTGAAGAAGCGGATATAAAGTTAACCTTCCTCCACTCTCTCTCCCCTATTATGTTTGAGGGAAGTAGGCGGCTGTAAACAGGCTAATACAGAGTGAGCTTTTAGTTTCAGTGACCGGATTAAATAAAGGACCATATCGGGGATAACCAGTAATATAATCAACGTTATATGTATAAATCTATATAGGTATGAGAACCAAATATCACTTCCTATTCCTCTGGTGAAGGGAAAATATTATTACATGGAAACGATAATGAAAGACGATCATCAAAATGATCACTTAGAAGTTGGAATGCAGGCACCTAACGGGACAATTTACACAGTGATACCCTCGACATTCTTGAGGACCAGTTTGCCTGTTCCACCCAGTAAGTCTTGAAGGTTATGTATTGTTTGTTACTGTTTGCTATGTACTGTTCCACAAGTAACTGTCGAAGATTTTCGATTGGTGGTCTTTCTCATTTGAGAGAGTTCGGTGGGAGAAAACTGTCAAGCTTACAGGGACCTGCAACATAGTTGTCTATTCACCGTAGGATCCCAGGATGAACAGAAAAAGTAACTGTCGACTCGAAAGAATTAGTTTTCGAACCGAAAAATGTATTTTATCTGAGAGAATTGTAAATTGCCTAGTGTAAAGGGCCCTACAAAAAATTGTCGGTTCGCACGTGTCTTACGAATGGATAGAATCATTTTCTACTCCGAAGAATCCGGCAGAGTGACTTAATTTGTCAAACGGAAAAGTGCATCTCATTGAAGAGAGCTAGAAATTGCCAAGCATAAAAGGCCATACAGTGAGTCGTTGACTCCTACATACCGGTTCCATAAGTAGACAAAATCATTGTCAAATGGGAAGAATGAGTTGTCAGTAAACGGAAATGGATTTTATTAGAGAGACTTCAAAGACCTTTAAATGATATGAAGGGCTTTGCAACTGCAGCGAAGTGTTCCTACCGTTTGAATTTTACGAATGGACAGTCTTTGGGGACTTGATATAATATAAGTTGCCAAACGACAAAAAGAGCGTCTCAGAAAGTCAGCATGAAATTTTCCAGCATGTGGATTTAAGGGGCTCTATGGCAAACTTCCCGTTCGTGCGACTGCACAAATAGACTGTGGCTTGTTTTTGACTCGACACGACCCCTCCGGTGTCGGGGAAATTTTTGCTCCTGGAATCCAGATTGCATCAAATTTTTGCTGTGGAATCCGGAATCCCGGGGTTTGAAATCCGGAAAACAGCTCTTAGAATCCGGAATCCCTCTAACCATTGATAAAGAATCCGGAATACGGCACCTTTAATCTGGAATCCACGCAGCCTCGTTCCCAGTCGTCCTCGGCGATTTCAGATGTGACGTCACCTGTCAAGCTTGTCGGGGGATTCGCCAAGGACTCTATCGCACTCGGTTCCAAGCCTCCTCTGGTAACTGGAACTGAGAACTGGCCTGGGTATAAGGCTGGAATCCACGGCGTGGCCGAATCCATAATCCAAGATTGGATTCCATTACTTGCGGCGAACTGGACAGAATAAGTTGTCGAACAGAAAATGGATGCTTTTTTGATTGGTAAATTTTTTTTATCAACAGTAATGAAAGGAAAGTTTACCGATTCAGATAAAATGGACTCACGCCCATTATCACCCGAACGACTAGAAAGATTTGTTCATAGTAAAATTATAATCTAATTAAATTCTTGCAAGATATCCATTAGCCTCCCACGCAGACGTTCTTAGGGGTTTGTCGTGCGTTCCTGCCCCACCAAGAACGTCTGCGAGGGAGGCTAGATATCTATAGAGCCTTGACAGGGAACGCCCACTTTTAGCGATCGGAAGTATCAGCTCGCCAAAAGCTTCCCACGTTTTTCACCCCCTTTATCTCATTGTATGTCCCCCGAAAAGACATTGGAATTCCAAAACTACAGTAGGCAAAGCATTCTGGAACACCAATAACGCCACCAGCTGCAATGCAAGTAATAAATCTCTGGTAATTTTAATTTTCAACTGCCCATGCAAGCTGGTATTCAATTGATTTCTCTGATAGTTGCCTCAAGGTTCTTCGGCAGGTGGTCATATATTGCTTCAGTTTTCGTCAGACAAGAGACTTTAGCCTTCAAAAAGTAACGGTGAAACGTCCTTACCAGCCGCTAAACAACGACGTCCAATGAAGTGTACCGCTTCAGCAGTGTTCTACTGCGCAACATATGCTTTACTTTGTAAATTTTCAAATGGGGACAAGCAAGGCGATAAAAGACACAAGTCAACAGGTACGTTAAATGGTTTTAGCACCACTGTAATTATATTGTCGCTGTCTGTCGATAAAACTCGCTATTTATTGTTTACATTTAGAGCCATTCTAAAGCTAAACAGAACTAAATGGAATAAGAAAATAACACGTAAACTTCTGTACTTAATTGTAGAATGACAAGGCAAACCGCGCAACTGTCCTGATATCAACTTTGAACTGAAAAGTTGACTTGGCAAACACGATTCTTTGATCGCATCTCGAAGTGATAACCACTTCGTTCTGACCCCAGATGTATCTAATCCTGTTTACCTGTTTATTTTTTGCGTTGAATCGCACAGATATGAATGTCATAGAATTAAATGTCTGGACAAACTTTGGTTTTCAGAGTTTTAAACACATGTTTTGTAGCAGTCAAGATTCACGAAGTTGAGCTCTAAATAAAGAACAAAAAACACTTGTTGATGAAAGAAAAAACACATAATAAAGGAAACAGAGGAATTAAGTCCAGTATATTATTGGTAAAACGTACTGAAGGCGGGCAGATTGATTAGGTTTATAACCTTACTAATTAGCGATCTCAAACGATTTTTTTGGAAATAGCTTTTCGATCGATTCATTGATGATTATGGAGGTATGGTAAAGACAGAAATTGCTCACTGACTGTTTATTTTTAAGAGATTAGTAATTCCAAAAAATCGTCAGTCAGCCAAATGTGCTTCAGTCCTGCCAGGTACGTTAAAAACGAATTTAAAATCCGAGGACGGCGACGGTGGCTGGTAGTGACAGTCGAGTAGGTCGACGCTCAAAATGGTGAATTTGCGTTCCAGCTTCCAATCATCATCGAAATTATTTTCCCGTTCAGAACTCACCTACTTTGTCAAATGAAGGCAAAAACTTTCCGGGAGTTGAATTCCTAAGAACTATAATTATCCAACTTCAGAGAGAGAAAGAAAATCTCGACTTCGCTTGTTTACGTTCTTCATAAAAAGTGGAATTTGGCATTAAGTTCTCGTTACCGTCGTCGTCGTGATATCTTAAACTGCCTAAAATTCGAGACCACACTGTAGGAGAATAAATCCGTTATACAATATCACTAAGCTTTGAGTGCCTTTTTTAAAATTCTAGGAGCTGAACGTGAACTGCTCAGAAAGCGGCGAGCATTTGGTTCTTGGAAGCCATCCTGTAACAGTGAGTAATAAAGTAAATTATAAACAACGAAAATTATTCTTGGCAAAGTCTTTGATTTCTGACGAACCTTATGCGAGCCAGCTCACTATTCTCTACAATAGCGGGAAAAAGCCAAAATTTGTCGGATGTAAGATCAGAAGCATGCGCAGTCGATTGGTTTTGCTTATTATCCGGGGTATTCGCTCCTGTACGATGACATCACGTAAAACGCACTTGGACTTCGAATAGATTTCAGGGTGCAGGAAGAGGTCTCTCACGACGAGGGCAAAATTTTTGCCTCGTCCTCAGAGACTTTTGCTAGCAGGGAAGTAAGCGAGATGTGTGTTAAGCAATTGCTTTTTTCATTTTTCTAGAAGTCTTTAAAGTATTCATCAATGTCTCGATCCAGAGCGTTTTAGTTATGAATCTCGTGGAAGACAGGAGGATTATGTGTTTGGCTGCTCTTTGCCGATTCGCAAATAAATATGGAGGAGCGAAGATATCGATCATTCAAATCCTTCTTTTTGGAAATAGTTTTTTCCCTGTACATTCAGCAGTAGTGAAGTGCCAGGCAAACATACTTCCATTCGGATTTAACCGCCGACTCTGGCTTGCTGGTCTCGTGAGAAAAGACAGGACGGTATGAAGCATTAATTTAACCTGATTAACCAGCCTTGCGTCTAAAGCTACTTCGGTACATGCAAATCAAAGCATTATTTTCACCCTTTGAGGAGTTAAACTTGATCGTTATGTCAATTTCTGTACATGTCGAGTGATACAATTCAGCTGATAATTTGACCATTAAATTACATTTGTTCCTTGGGGCGAAAGAAATAGCTTGGAACCTTGGATTCAAAATATATATCGCTTTTTTTTGAAGCTATCTCCTCATGGCTAACCATTGAACTAATTGTTTTCTTTATATCTTCACGACCACCACATTAAACTGTCGTTAGTCCATTGTCCTTGATTATTGCTGAAAATGTATTAGTAATGCCTTCGCACCGCCATTCGCGAATGGGCAAAAATTGTTGAGATAGAAGAGCAGCCAAACGCATTAAAATCTCTTGTCTTCCTTGGGATTCACCACTTAACCGTATGTGACCTTGATGAATACTTCTACGGCAAATAAAGAAATCTATAAAATATATCAAAAGGCAATTCATTGAAACTCAGGCCTCGTTTTTCATCCCGCTTGCACTCTGGAAATTTACTCGAAGGCCTGTCCCGTTTTATACTTCACAATTTTTATTCCTTTTAAATACTAAGACTTACCCACCCTAATTCGCAGGAGTTCCTTTCTTTTTCTTATCTATTTTCAAACTGTATTCTCCGTATTTTCTTCCGACTCGGACGCCAGCACTTACTTGTAAGTTGAAACTCCTAGTAAATATGTTAGTCAGTTTTCTCACTTGTCTGAAGGTGAAATTACATCAAAGCAAAACACCCCTGGGCCCAGTTGTTCAAGGGCCAATTAGCGCTTAACCCGGGGTTAAATTTAACCCGGGTTTCTTTTCTTTGTGTTCAAAAGCATTTTCTAGGATAATTTTCTTCCAATCATCAACTTGTAGACAAAAAGAATTAAAACTGAAATGTTTTCTAAGCTTTCAAATCCTGAATTCAAATCTCGCACTAACCCTGGGTTATCTTAACCCAGATTTGAACAACTCGGCCTTGGAAGATATTAACCCGTTCACTCAGCTGAAGGATTGCCCACAAAATGTCAGAATTGTGACTCGAATGTCTACTCTCTATACTCTACTCGTATCTCTGTCACTCTAATCTTGGCTTACGGCTCATTTTAGACGTTATCGTCTGACTTATTCGCCAGAAGAGCCCGGGGAAAGGGGTGCTCCCTATACATACAAGGAGGCTTCCGGGCGATTTCAATTGCAACATTCCAGTGAAACTGTTTCCATTTCAGTTACCAACGGCATCTATTTGGAAAGATGGGACCGGATAGATTACAAGCGTGTTAAATTCCTCGTCATGGACCCTCGTTTTCCAAGGCTGCCATCGAAAACAATATGTCTTCCTGAATTCCAGCAACCGCACAGTTGGGCTGACTATTTTGGTGCTCGAGCAAGGACTTATTTTGTTCCACAGCAGACTGGAATTTACCGCTTCATGCTTTGTGAGGGCATTTAATTTGATTCTAGAAATTTGTAGCTTAGTCTTAATTAGGCATGCAAGAAAGAGGAGTGAAGAGATAAGGGGGACAAAGGGCAATGGCGTTACGGTTGATCAGTCTTTGAAGACAAGCACGGCAGTAGATCGGTGAATGCTCAACAGTGCAACTGAACATACCAAACTTATTCGTATTATTGGGGTGTTTGACCAATGAAGGTGTTTGACCAATGAAGGTGTTTGATCCAGAAAGGCAAATGTTATCTAGTCTGCATAACAGGCGCTGTATGAGCCAAGCGAGGCGTACGCAGCATTTTGCTCTTCGCGCGCACTTGCCGCGTTTGCCTCGCTTGGCTGTTTGTCAAAATACTACGCAATGGAGTTGTAATTATTAGACATGCGCTTACCGAGAGTCAGAACTGGCCCGCGATCGAACTGGTTATTTTGAAAAAAAATTAAAAAATTCTAGGTTTTTCTCGAAATTTTCTCAAAACCTACCAATGCTGAATATACTATTGATGAATAGGCTGATCTGGTTGAATAGTCTTGATTAATAGAGCCTAGGGATTCTCTTTACCACTGTAGCGGTCCGGCCGGCCGGTTCTAACAATTAGAAGCGCCCTCTAATCTTCATCTTACTGGCAAACCGTTACTCTCCCCTTCCAGTGTTTTTTTTACTGGCAACCAACGAATGTTCATGTTTACACTTTCCCCTAGTCCCTGTACGGCGTTCTCCATGGCCTTCTCAGTCAATAGGGAGTAGGCAAATATGGCGCAAATAGCTAAATATTGGGGAGTAAATATATGGCAAACATAGTAAAAGTTGTGCAAATCCATTTTTTCGTGCACGGTGTATAACGTGTGCATGTAATTTCTCTCAGCATCAGATGCCGGTAGTGAGCTTTATATTAGTACCAATGAGAAACCTGTCCACCTTTCGCTGATTGCGTCGGTTGAGGGAGGATTTCCAACTCAACCATATGAGTTTGATAGGTGAGTTGAAAGATGTTTTGTACTAGCCTGCGTAGAACGCGCTTGAAAGTAATGGGAGCAAGAAAGAACGGGGCGCTCGAAGGAAAAACGCCTCTCCCCTCGCTTGTCTCTCTCGCGCGCCCCGTTCTTTCTTGGGCGGTTACTTCCAAGCGCCTGGCGATGAGTTGTCTACATGGTCCTACATGGTATCAACGGGAATGTTTTTTTTTCCAGAAAGTCTAATTCCAGGATGTTTGTTTAAAAATGGTTTGATAATGTATACGGAACAAAATTAATCAGGGTCTTAAGTAAGGTCTCTTGTCTTAAACTGGGTAGCGAAATGAATGATTTTTGTCTAAAACAGAACTAAACACGGCAAACAGTAAACAGTATACAATTGAAATAATCAGGTCTGATGCGCGCTCGTGCAGTTTGAACTCCGTTGTGCGCTTTATTTTAAGTCAATACTTATTTGGCAGAGCGGTCTACATGTGTGTTACCCGACAATGTTTCTCAAAATTCCATGATGTTAGTTTGAAAAATTACTTAATTCTGTGTGTGGAAACGAAATGTATGAGGGTCATGAAATTAGGTCTCTTGTCTGAAACAGTGTAGTGAAATGGCGGCACACCTCTTTCCGAACGTCCCTTGAGTGACCCCGGGTCAATTTATGCAGGTTTTCACCCGGGGGGGACTCTGCATATGAAAGGGGTGGGGATGCTCGTCGGAAATTTTGAATTAAACCCCTAAAGGAGACTGATCTGAGCGTGGCCTAAGCTTTTTTTGACCCCTAAAAGAGACCATGTTAAAACACAGACAATATGTATATTTTTATATTTTTTCGCTTGCAACCCTAAACGAGACCTTCACGGCTAAATATGATGGCGTTTTGCCCATAATACCCTAAGTGAGACCGAAATTCAAAATTTACGCCCTATGCGAGACGACGAGCATACCCACTCATTTCATACGCGGACTCCCCCCCGCGGATTTTCATTATACATTCCGACTTTTACCCGGGATTAAAGAACCAAATCGAAGGCATAAGAGACATGATCTAATCAGCGTTATACGTATGGACCTATACAGGTATCTAAACCAAATATCTCTTCCTATTCATCTGGAAAAGGGCAAATATTATTACATGGAAACTAGAATGAAAGATGATCATCAAGATGATCACTTAGAAGTTGGAATGCAGGCAACTGACGGGACAAATTACACAGTGATACCCTCGACATTCTTGAGGACCAGTTTGCCTGTTCCACCCCGTAAGTCAGTTACAATGAACTTTTTCGATACTTTCAACCTGGCCCGGCTTGTTCAAACGTTGGATAGCGCTATCCACCGGATAATTCACTATCCAGAAGATAAGTATAAGGGAATCAAATTGCGCCATTCAGTGGATAGAGATTTATCCAGTGGATAGCGTTATCCACTTTTTGAACAACTGGGGCCTTAAAGATAAATGATGATGATGGTGATGATGATGATGATGATGATAAATACTTGATTGGTGGGAGGCAAACCATTATGATGCCAGTTGGCTATCTTATGAGCTTGGCCGCCGACAATTGGAACTCGGGATTACCGGTCACGGCGGGACTTGAAATCTGTAAATAACAAGTCCAGCGCTTCAGTGACCTCCCAGCGTGGGCTGATTGAGATGTCAGAGTGCAGACAATGGTTGGAAGAAAGATTTCTCTCGATTCAGCGGGATGAGCTATCGAAGTCCGAAGGAATAATGCATATTGTTATTATAATAATAATGCATATTAGAATCCTTCGAATCGACAACTTCATTAAGAGCCTATTGTGACAATACGCTGGAAATTTCTTTCTCCCCATGTTAAGAAATTCGAATTCCGGAGTCCCGGAATTTTTGCCTGTGGAATCCGGAAATCAGAAATGTGTAAATCTGGAATCCTGGTTTTCTGTAGAGTCCGGAATACAGCTCAAGGAATCCGGAATCCCACTAAAGATTGGAATCCGGAATCCAAGTTCCACTGACAAGAATCCGGAATCCAGTCTCTGGAGTCCGGAATCGGTAGCTTGGAATCGACAATCCAAGAGTGTCTTGGATCCCTTATCTGACAATCGGACTTAACCCTCTCGGTTGTGTATTCCCGCTTACAGGACAAGAAGTATGGAAGAGAAGTTTTTTTTTTTTTATGAAAAAGGCAAACTGATTCAAGTTGACTATTGGTCAAATCAGGAAAGGGGACAGTTATGTCTATTTTGACAACTCACGATCTCTAGTGTTTTAATTCCTAGTTGAAAACGATTTGATTCATTCGTACGACGAATGAGATGCATTTTTCCACTGTCGAATTTAAAACGTTTTTTCATTTGTATGATTCCGTGGGGTTAACAACTTCTCAACGGCTCAGTTTATCAATTGAACACTCCTTTGGGGGCGCTATTTATCCATTCATAGTGGCCTAGAAACGTATTTTTCGGGCTTATACGTCACAAGCGTGAGTGTGATCTATTTGGAAGCACTGTTAACGTACAAAAGTCACGATCGAACAAAACGAAACAAAACGAGCAAACAAACAAAAACACGCACAAAGTATCGAGTAGTTAGCAAAAACTGCTGGACAGAGAAATAAACGATTGGGCAAACTGGAACAACCCAACGTCATTTTGAAAATCAGTATTCAGAGAAACACAATGAAGAGCCAATCAATGTCTTCCTTACCAGAGGCACAATGCCATCTATTTCCAAATAGCTGGGCAGCCGAGGCAAACAACTTTTCACGTAGAGCAGCAAACCTTGAGCAGTACATGCAGGATATAATGTTTCGCATCTTTAACAGGTGCATAGAAAACGGCACGGGCTACTGAAGAATTAGCCTTTGGCAGATTTTGATAGATATATAGTTTTAGCCAAGCCTAAAAGCGAAGCTTCAATCGGTTTTTATACTTTTAATTAACGACTATTGGATGATAAAGGGATGTTCAGTTCTGCAGATATACTCCAAATAGCAAATGTCGTCGATCCAATTGTAGTCTTATTGTTCTTGCTATGTTTTGAGGCATGCAGTAGTTAGCCTATTTCTTCTTCGCGGAACGTGTGAGATGTTCCGCCATTTTCTACTGCTCTACCAAAACAACTCAACCTCGTCCCCAGGACTTGTCATCGAAAACGTCTTCCAAATTTGGTCAACAATGGCTGTTTATGAAGAATGAATAGTGGGATTTGAGCCAATCAGAAAGTGAGAAATATTTGGAATGAATAATTAAAAAATTCGATCGCAGAACCTCATGAGCTCAGGGTAAGGGAAAGTAGGAGGAATAAAGAGACACGAAGCCAAGAAAGAAAAAAAAACATAGTCGAAGATAATAAATAATTAACGAAATGATAGGTTTATCCAAGATTCAAACTCGAAACCCTTACTTGCTAAGTAAGGTTCTACCACAACGCTACGTAATGAACCAGAGCCTCAAGTAAAAAAACATTGCCGTTAACGAAGTGATAGATTTATCCAAGATTCAAACTCGAAACCCTTGCTTCCTCCGTGAGGTACGTACTTACCAAGACGCTACGTAATGAACCAGATATGAGCCTCAAGTAAAAAAAACGCAGTTTAAAGCTGGTCAAGCCGTATTAAACGTCAAGCAGGAAAAAAGCAGGGTTTTGACTGTAGAAAGCCGAATTTGGACCCCTTTTTTTGCATTCGAAGAACAAATGCCCTGTAGAGCCGAAATACGATAAAACTCGACTACTAAGTAAGACGCAAAAAAATGTTCTCTTACCTCGATTTTCGGTCTTATTTTGAATTTAACGGCCTAAATCGCGCCCATTTCTCTTTAAAGTACTTCCACGGACGAAATTCATCGCCAAAGCATTTCGTGGCCGTTAAAATGGCGTTTTTTGCGGGGTTTTGTTTACTTGCAGTCTTTGCTAGGTAACTGTGGACACCCGTGAGCGCGATATATTGCCGCCTCGTGTTTCAGGCTACCACGCTAGAGATCCATGCGTATTCAAGCATGATGCGAATTCCGACAAATTGTAAACCTCGCATGGCAAGGAACTTAAAAGTAAAGACTGACTTTGTTGATTTCGATGTAAAATTAGTTACTTTTTTGTTCTTATGAACAGATCAAAACTTCTCCTACCAAGCCATTTTGCTTAAGGTAGCCGCGGAAGCTGGTGCGAAGGCTGGACTATCTTTTGGCGAAAGATGGGCCAAGAAAACAGGCGCAAAAGCAGGAGCTAAAGCTGGTGCAATGGCAGGAGTACAAGCTGGAGCATGGGCTGGAGGAACTGCAGGAGAAAACGCAGCAATCAGAATGATTACAAAAACACTGGAGGATGGGTTAAACAATCTTCATGGTAACAACGGGCATAAATATAAGATTAACGTAGTGGATGGTAACGTGGTCTCAGTCACTGGACCTGGAATGACAGGAGCCAGTGCAGCTGCAGGGGCAGCAGCGAATGCTTGGGCTGGAGGGACTGTCGGGGTAGGTGGGTCTGGTGGAGCCGACGGAAGTGCAGGCTCGGCTGGAACAGGTGGCACGGCTGGAGCTACTGGTAGTGGTGGAGCTACGGCAGCTGCAGGAAGTGCAGGTGCAGCGGCAGGTGCTTCTGGGGGAGCCGGGGGAGCCGGGGGAGCCGGAGGATCAGGGGGTGCTGTAGGTGCTGGGGCTACTGGGAACACCGGTACAGGAAGTAGCTCGTCTGGTGGTGCTGCAGCAGGAGGTGCAGCGGCTGCTGGTGGAGGAGGCTCTCAGGTTTCCGGTTCTGCAAGTGTAGGCGTTGGAACTGGAAGTGCTGGAACAGGCGGAGCCAGCTCTGGCACAATAAAACCTGCCAAAGTGACGTATATACCAAAACCAGGAGAAGATCCACAATTAATGGCACTTAATTTGGTCTGGAAGGCCGGGGGAGCGAGGAAAAGTAAGTCAGAGAATGTTATCGATACTAGCAAATTAAATTTTGCTTTGGAAAACCCGCTAATGTTTGGATACACGGTGTAGCTGTTTTTACAAGATCATTTTTACGTTTAAAATCATTCTATCAAATTACTAAGAATATCTCATGTCTGAGTTCAAATGTAAGTTTTGAAGATAGATAACGAGGCAATAGTTAGTGAATAGTTATCTGAATAGTTTGTTTTTGCCTTTGAAGTATCATCTTTTATCAAAAAAGTGAAACCATAGAAGAGATGAAGTCATCTTTCTACCCTTGCATTCATGCATCCATGCATGCATGCATGCATCCATCCATTCTGATTCATTCATTCAGTCAGTCATTCATGCATGCATGCATTCATTCATTCATTTATTTACTGTGTTTTCAAAGTTTTTGATACTTTTGGGGGCTTTGATCTTTACCTCTTCACCTTTGAGCGGCACAAGGCTCAAAAACCGCGGGTGAAAGTAAAAAAGATAAACTTCAAACGAATATTCTTTCTTGCGCTCAACTATGGAATAAACTTCCAGAAGATGTCAAGCCGGCCCATAATGTTAATATTTTTACGTCTAAGCTAAGATCAATTCAGCTGTAATTTTTATATTTTCAAATTTTTTGGTGATTTCTATAATTTTTTATATTCATGTGTACATAGATTATAGATTATACGTTTATTTTTTTATACTAGGTATTATTATATAATTTTAGATTTAATGCACGTTCGTATTTTGAACGAGCACTTGTACTCTTAGACGATAACGAGGTTAAATAAATTAGTGTTGTTGTTGTTGATATAAGTATAACTAGCATTATCTGAATAAGTAGAAGTCATATGACTTATAGTTTTCTATTAATATTCTATTCTATTCTATTTGCAAGTTGCAATAAATTGATTAATCTATTATAATTGTTACCATTTAGAGTTGTTAAAGGAATGAAATATAAAAAAGGATTATCCTACATAAAGATTCGTTTATTGTTGTTCTTGTACTTTTCTATTATTTTCATTATACTTAAATATGTCTTTTTAAATTATTTGTTCATTATTTCTTTGTCTTAGTCGTAGCAAATGGAATGTACACTTTTCATTCAATGGAAGCACCCTTCATGCAGGAAGATGCCTTTCTCAACGATTGCTGGAGATCAAAATATGGTTTATTCTACGTAGATAAATTTTGTCAGGTATTTATTACCCGTATTCCTGCCTTGTCAAAAGAAGCCAGCACATCGAGAGACACAGTTTCCTTTGAATCTGCATGTCGGCCAGGATATTTCTTGCGCCAAAAGAACTATCACTTCATTCTCCAAAAGAGAGACGGAACGGAACTTTTCGGTAGGTATACATCAGAATCTTTTGCTTTTAGATCCAGGCGGCGGGGTATGGTGCTCCCCTATATAAGCTATGATATGTAGGCATGTGCCGGCCCAAATGGTACAGTTTTTGTCACAAAAATGGGTATAGCTTTAGTCCATTATGATCTAGCAAAATACGGATACGATTTTAAATGGAACCACGAGGACGTATAAATTTATTAGTTATTCAGCTATAAACGTGTTTGTGTTGTTGTTGTTGTTGTTTTTTTCAGATGAATAAGACCGTCTAGTGTCAAATACTTCTTAGTAATAAATAATGCTTTTGTTGACTTCACTTGAACAAGGTAACCGGGGAAGGTACACCTATATATGGGCTATATGGATTTTGAGTGCTCTCTATCCTCCCTTGGTTCTCGGTGTGATCCTTAGAAAGGGTTCCTTACTATATATCAGCTAAAAATTCAAATGCGTATCACGTATATGCCCATCTGCGCGAGAAACAAATCACCTGTTGAAACTGAACTTTTCTTCGAGAAACAGTAAAGCAATTACAGAAAGATTCGTGTGTTTCCATTAAATTCTTAGTTTTTGTTTTTCCCTTGATTGTCTCATTTTTCAGGTTTAGGCCTTAAATAAGGTATCAGTTTTGGTCTGTCTGATCCATAAATACGGTCAGGGTCTAAGACGGCACACACCTATCCAAAATTTACGGGATAACCATCCCCACCAGGAAAAAGGTAATAGATTGGCGAACAGAGAACAACTTTCAGAGGCCACTTCGGAAAAAAGGATGGAAAAATGTTTTGGAATGAGATAAGGCTAGGATTTGGAAAACCGCGCGAAAGTTTCAAATAGTGAAAGTTTTTCCTCTACACTTAAAGACTCAGTTTCGCGAGCCGCCACTTTTCTTCATGTTTAGTAGCGTAGCCCTTTTATCCGTGACGGCATTCCGTCGAAGGTAAGCTGATTGGTGGGAAGTTCAAGTGGAATGCCAACTTTCAAGAAACAAAAGAGGCAAGGCCGATTTTACTGTCGGGAATATATATTTCTTTCACCAATATTTATGAAGGCACGGGCTTCTTCTTCAGGCTACTTGCATGCAATGATAAGATAAAGCTAAGACGTTAAAATTTGAAATAAAGAATAACTAGCCTGTACACAGACGTTGTTTTATTTTTCTTTTCGTTTTTTTGGAAAAAAATCGGCCAGCAAGCGATAGTGTGCGATATGATACTATGATAACAGGTGAAAATTTAAATTAGAAGAAAAGTGAACCTTAAAAGTACATCTGTATGAAAACAAAAACCGTTGAATAAGTGATATGAAGGAAATTTGAAATGTAAAAATAGTATAAATAAATGTTTACAAACGGAAGATACAACATTTAAAAAAGATTGCAATGTTCTTTAAATTATTCAGGTACGAGGATTTTGTCCACTGAATATTAAAAATTACTCAATTTCCTGGTGGATTCCGTCTTAATATTGTAATTGTCATCTGTTATTAAATCCCCAGATAAAGACAGTTCATTTTTTGTCTACGACGTCGTAACGTTCACTCAATATTTTCTCTTCAATTCGATGCACAAAGACTGGTATGTCTGCGACGAAAGTAGGGGTAGAGATCGTCGAGTTCACAAAATAAGTAAACTTGCTCTAGACTTTTACAGTGGTAACCCAGACGTTCTTCCACGTTGCGCCTTTATACTCAACCCAATAGAAAAAAATGGCGACAAGTTTAGGAACTGTAAAAACGTTATTGGGCCAGTGGAAACTCCAGAAATAAGCGGACAACCTCTTCCTCATCCACCTCATTTGGTTTCGAATAAACCACCGTCTCCTTTTCGTCTACCAACCTGTATACCAGTTTGCCCAGCGGGACCAACACAGCCTGGAGCTCAGGCAGGACAAGGGAGTATGGGCCAAGCGGGTCCCGGCACTTCCGCTGCTGAAGCGAGTTCATCACATGGAGTTCAACCCTCTAACAAACGTAAGAGATAGGCGATGAATATACGTAACTTCGTAAAATACAAGTTTTCCCTTGATAAATCCCCCCCTTCCCTTTGATACAAAAAAAGAAGTAATTGCTACCACCTACTCATACGCTTGAGTAATCAAGAGAGATGATAAACAAATATGGTGTCAAATGAACGCCTATTTAAATTTTTTGAGTCGAGAGGATGGCTCAAATAGGTAGGGGGACTCTTCGGTCATATTACGGTATTTATGGCTATAACTTTCCGAAAGAAACATCAAATAATCGCACAAAACCCACCTTTCCAATAAGCAGCCATTTATCGAGCAAAGGATATTGTCCCCGCTTTCAACTTTTATTAAAAATACAGAAAAAAAAAAGAAATTAATTAAAAGTGGGTACGGATGGGGATAATTGGAGAAGGTTTAAACAGATTGCATTCAGATCAACTTGATAAACAGTCTGACACTGTTCACAGTGAACGCACCCCCTCAAGAGGGTCATATTGGCGTTAACCGTCAGACGATCGAGGACGTAATCGTCAACCATCAAAAAGCTAAATTTTTTTAACGTTAGCCATCAAGGGTCTATTTACAAACGAGTGAGAAAGAAATCATCATCATCGGTCGACCCGGAAGAACAGTCGACTGAAAATCGTCTGACTCCAACTGAGGCATGTGTATAATTTTCTTGTATGGTAATGACGTCATGTTGGAATAATAAAAGAAGGTAACTGTTAACAATTTTTAGCCTTTAACCGTCAGAGCAAACCCCTCATTATGACCCTTACTATAATGTACGTAACTCCGTTAAAATAATTGCCTCTGAAATGTTTAAAAATGGATTTTCCTGTATCCGACAGTATCCGAGGCAGACCATGGTTCACCATAAACTTGTTGCTTTTTATCACAGCATACTGTGTTGCGGTAATCTTCGACAACAAGGTTGGCTCTCCTTTTACATTGTACTCTTCTCTAAAACACGAGGGATATCTCGTCACTGGATCTGGCTTTAAACTGAAACTTTTGATAGATCGACCAGAACTGCACAGCCACGTGACCTTCTACGCTAAAGACCCAGGTGGAAATCGAGGAGACTTGTTAAATGGGGAACCAAGTATTTCAAGGCCTGTGGTTTCTAACTGTGATTATTTTTTTCCGGTAACTGTGACAGCCGAACAAGGCTCTTCAAGTTCACCTCCCGGAGCCCCGGTCACATCTCCCCCTTCATCTGTTCCCGGACAGTATGCACCGCCAGCTGCTCCACCAGCTCCAGCAGCCCCACCTCTTCCTCCGTCACCACCTCCTGCTGCACCTCCGCCTGCATTACCTCCTGCGCCAGCGTATCCGGCTCCGCCGTCCCAAACTCCATTAGCGCCACCATCTCCTCCGGCTCCGTCCACAGCACCAGCACCCCAGCCGGCTTATGCTCCACATATTCCGTCCATTCAAGGTGCTCCTTCCATGCCAAGAGGCAAGTAAATCATTTGCTAATAGTAACAATATAATAACGATGATGATGATAATGTTAAAAATAATAACTGATAAATTGTTTTTCCCTTGATTTGCATTATGAAATTGACTAGAGCGTTTATTTCGATGTGAAATGCATGGATATTAGATCTGAAGAAAAGACAACTAATTATGCTCTTTTAGTTGATAATAATAGTGACAGCATGTATACTTAATTACAACGTGGAAGATAATTATGATAGTTGCCTTCCCTGTTCTAAGCAGTTCAATAGCTTTCTTTTTTGTTATAATTGAAGACAACTGATTAATATTTTTTTGATATTACAACTGATGGTTACTCAATGACGTAGCTTTCGAATTCAGTACTGATTTTACAATCCTCGCCCTTCTAAACCGTAACAAAGGTACTTAATTCTAGACAGCAATATACGTTGGCAGCCTTCCATTACGTACGATTTATCCAATAATTTTATTTTTCATAGTTTATGAAAAAAGAAATTGCTTTCTTACTGTTTGCAGACAATGGGTCGGTTCATTACCATTACCACTATTATAAATCCAAGACGGATGACCACCTACATGGTAATGATACACTTTTATTTTATGTATTTAGCACCCATGACAAAGCCTTATTCTTCCTAAATTCCACCATTTTCACCTAGGCCATAATGCACCTAATTTACTTCCCCAAATTTTTGTATAACTCGGCGTTGTCTTCGATTTTCCTTGGTACGCCAGTCATACCCAGGAGAAATTGAAAACAATGGTTATGCAAAATTTGATGGGTTTGTACTATCGACCGAGTGAACAAGAAAACAACGCCATGCTTGTTTGTCTCGAATAACTCCGTACTTTTACTGACGGATCACGTGACGTGTGAACTCGTGATTAACGACATTACAGGGTTAACAAGGTGCATTATGGTCAATGTGAAAATGTTGAGTTGATACAGGAAGGAAGATCAAATAATGATCTTGCCCCAGTTGTTCAAACGTTAGATAGCGCTATCAACCGGATAAATCACGATCCAGCGGATATCTATTAGGGATACCAATTGCGTTATCACGTACTGGACAGAAATTTATCCACTGGATAACGGTATCCACCTTTTGAACATCCGGGGCCAGGAATCATTGTCACACTTCAGATGATTCTTCAAATTTATTTATTTTACGTATAAGTCATCACTAATCAGACATAACATCTGTGAGGGATTGGTTCGATAACCAACCGATACTCAGGAAAATGAGCCCCCACTCATCTCCCCAAAAGAGCTTCGGGGAGGATCAAAGTCCAGACCCTGGAGACGGCGGAAATAGACAATCCTGGACAAAACTACTTGAGAAAATGTTTTCATTAATGCGCACTACCTAAGGGAACAAAACTATTCCCAAATCAACGGCTTTGCGTAAAGAAACCCCCCTCCCCCAGTTCAAAGTTGCTTCCTACAAATCCTTAGGGATCCGGCTTTCTTTGGAAACCCAACAACACTGCTTCCAGGCGGAGAGGGGGAGGGAAGAATGGGTCGGCCACGAAGTTTAGAAAAGATGACCCCCAAGAAGGCAATTTTCTCAACAGTTTTGTCCACGATTGGAGCCTATGTGAAGGATACTAAAATAATAATTAGATCAAAAAGCCAATCTCGACTCTTATGTAAACGTTTTAACAGCAAAGAAGAGTGTTTTACCTGATATCCTATATTTTTCCATGTCTTTGATCTGAAGCTTGCCCAAGCAGCTGTTCTCCTAATTCTGTTCCATGCCCTCCCGCCTGCCCGATACACTGCTGTAAGCGAGACTTGGACGAATACGTAGACGACGAGGGCGACGAAGATCAAACAACAGAGAAGTGAGTTTGCCTCTGTCCTAGAAAATGGAACTTCCATAATGTAGATGACACATTTACATTTTGTGCTGCACTTGGTAATTAGACGACTTAGACCTTTTCAGCTTTATATGCGTCGTTGTAGATACTCACAAGCTTGGCTTCCAGCAAGCTCTTGACTAAGGGGCGAGGGAAGAGAACTGGAGAGCTCACTTGAGGTCCTGCTAGCAAGCAGCCTTCGCACAAAGAGAAAGCCTCAGCCAACCTGTCCAGCCGACATTCTAGGCAGCTTAAGCAACAACGACGGCAAAGGCTACGAAAACGTTACTTAAAAAGTGAAGTCGCGCTGCTTCAAACTTTATCGCTTTTATTCCATCTCGTTCAATTTGTCAAATGTTGGCATTTTTTTCTGGAGTTTAATTCTAAATGACTCTACAGAATTTTAGGAAAAGTCGTTTGTCTTTATTGTGTCTTGTGTTCGCGTTCTGCACAAAACGTGAAATTAGGTATTTTCACGTCGTAGTCGTGCAGTGATGGCAAAGAAATATACAAAAAAGCGTGATGCACGCGCACAGTTGTTATTTTGCCAGTATAAACGTATTGCTTTTTTGCCGTTCTAGTTGACGTCGTCGTCGTCGTTTCGTAAGCTCCCTTCTACCAAAATAAAGGGGCTGTATCATGGACGTGGCCTATTTTGTTTAGCGTTTCCTATGGCTTAATTACATTTAAGTCTCTATAAAAAACGTTTATGACCGTTTAATACAACACCGGCACCGTTTGGCTGGGGCTTATATTAACTGTATTCGCTGTTCTTGGTTAAATAAAATAGAAATGGTTTCACTCAAACTCAAAAAGATGCCATCTTAAGTTTTGGGAAGAGCACTCTGGTTTGATCCATTTGCTAATCCGCACTTGACGCGCGGTCATCGCTTGACTTCTTTATAGTGGGTACCATTTAACGAGGAAACTTGGATAGATCTCCATGCCACTTTTCCACTTTTCATTCACAAAAGAAAATTCTCCCCAGATAAAATTGGTTATACTAGAATATACGTGTGGAAAACGCATATCGAAAGTTCCGAATTGAAGCTCTGAAGTTTATATTCTGGGGCTTATGTTAAGAGGGGCTTTATATAAACAACTCATCTCAGGAAGAACTGATTTTCGTTTCGAAAACCCATTGGTTTTTGAGCGTGATCAAGCGACCTCACTTAAATCTACCGTCATTATTATTATTATTATTATTATTATTATTATTATTATTATTATAAGTGTTCAGTTCATAAGACCGTATTTCTTCTCCAAGGGCCTAGTCCAAACCTTGAACCTGGGGCACTTGAGGGTTTCTTTGTCATTATTGTCGCTTGATGGATAGGACCTTCCGTGGAATATGTGCCGTTCCCGGTAATGTTGTCTTTTGAATTTCCCAGATGTTAACGTTCCCTGGAATTTCTCTAAAACAAGCTTCTCTGAACCTTTCTCAATCCCTAACGCCCCTACAACCACTGGAATTATTTCGGTCTTTATCTGCCACATTCTCGGCTAATTTCGATTTCCAGATCTTTATACTTGGAAAGTTTTTTGGAAATCTTTTTGGGAGTGTTTTTATCAGAGGGTATAGCCACATCAATGAGAGCGCATTTCTTATCCCTAATGTTCTTGATGACAATGTCAGGACGGTTTGCAGAAATTTTTCTATCCGTATGAATAGGCATATCATAGAGAATGGTGATATCATTCATTTTGTTATTATTACTATTACTATTATTATTATCATTATTATTATTGTTATTAGTGGCGTGAGCTTGTAAATTAGTGTCTTAGGTTCTTTTAATATTTTTATGTCATCAGAATTTTAGTCTATGATAGTGGAATGTATTGGTCATATGTTAATAAAAATTTTTTAGTTATTAGTAATGGTAACAGGACTGAGTGGAGTCCAATTCGTGCCACGTTCACGATCCGTTTTCTCATTTCGGAATTCGCAAGGAAAACTCGGCGTTCGCAATCCGTTACTGCCCTTTTGACAAACATGCGAACTCTAAAGTTCAAAAGCCGCCTTCACAATTGCGTTTTTCGCTGCCGTCAATCGTAATTACGAGCACAAGCAACAAAGCTTGAAACACAGAAACACACAAAACGGATCCAAATCCACCAATCACAAATCACAAACCATGACCTTTTGAACCCGTTAAAGTAAAGTTTTGTTTCCTAAGAGGTCCGTTAAGATGATCGACGGCAGCGAAAAACGCAATCGTCAGTTGGCTTTTGAACTTCAGAATTTGCATGTTTGTGAAAAGCGGAGTAACACCAAGAAAATATGCTGTTTACTTCACGTTTTCCAGCACACGGAAAACGTGGTTGAACAGTGCGCTTTCTCTCGTTAAGCGGACATTTTACCAAACGGTTAATGTAAGGAAAATATCGCGTTCGTGACTCGTTTTCCCACTTCGGAAAAGACAAGGACAACTTGGCATTCACCATCACTTTAATAACAGAGGGAAAATATGCTGTTCATGTCACGTTATCCAGCACATGGAAAACTGGATTGAACAGCTCGTTTTTTCTCGTTAACCAGAAATTTTACCAAACGGTTAATGTCGTGAAAATTTAACGTTCCTGAATCCTTTTCCGACTTCGGGTAACACAAGGAAAACTCGCGGGAAAACTCAACATTCACCGGCGCTAACACCAGGAAAACATGCCATTCATTTCACGTTCTCTAGCCCCTGGCAAACGCTATTCAAGAGTGCGTTTTGAACCTCATTTTACCATCGTTATCAGCAAAGTGTAAACAGTCCGTTGACCGCCGTGTTTTATTTGGGTCCAAACATTTCCCGCCAAGAATTCCCTCAACTTTATTTTGATTATCTTATCAGCAAGAACTTTGCCAAGAAACCGGTGTCTGAGAATATTACAACGGAAATTGACTTCTCAGTAATCTCAGTTCAGCAAATTCTGAATACGATAAGACTTATTTGAGGTCTGTCGTAATCGTCGTTGTTTTTGAAACCAACTCAAGGCATACAAAATGCATGCAGAGGCTTTTCTCTGCCGCGAGGCCGCGAAGCAAAAGATACGCAAGGGATGAGACCATTTTTGTTTCCCTAGTAACCGGACTCGGTAGCCTCGACATCACGAGTAAGACAAAAGAACAAGATCACATGACCTCAAAGTCCGCCTTTCTTTCATGTGAGGAAATTTTGTCACATTTCGAAGCAGGAGGCGGGAATTTCGAGTTTTTGTTGTTTTGCTGCCATGTCCGCGGTAGATCGTGGTCAAGAAATCTCTCTTTCGGACCTTTACTTCTTGTTATTACAAGCCACGGTTAAGGGAAGCAAGGTTTTGACGGCGCAAGTGGCCGAGAGAACAGAGAAAGAGGAGGACGTCAACAGACTTACCTTTAAGCTGTAGACGAGCTGTGTAAAAAGTTTTCGACCAAAGAGGCGTGTAGAAAGAGGAAAAGGCGCGCCAGTTCTTAACTGACGGTTTCAAGACAATTAGGGTAAGATCTATTTTAACTTCTTTTAGCATGTATTGTAATGAATTGATCTCGAAATTGTATGCAAGTCGGGGATTTGTTGGTAAGCTACAGTGTAGAATCTGGAATAGTGAAATTCGGAATACGGAATACAACTACCCAGGGAAACTTTCTTGGAAGGGACAAGAAAACCGGTCTGGAAGATAGGCTAAAACTTACCGTAACCGTTTGGCACAAAATTTTTGTGCGAGTTTGTTTTTGCAGATTGGTGATTTTTTCTGTCTTGCGTGAGCTAATTTTTGCTATTAGGAGAGATTGTTTTTTCTTGCTGGGAATTAATGGCTCAGTCAATTGCAAGCATGCCTTCCCCTCTCCTTCCGCTTGGGCATTTGTCAGGCGTTTAATAATAATAATAATAATCAACTTTATTTAACGAGGGTAACACGGGACAGTACTTCAGCTGAATAACTAATGGTCCTCAAACTAAAATCATAAAACAAAAATTAAGTAACCAAAAATACATATCGTTTAAGAAAAAGAACTATAAATATATATATGAATAAGACTAAAAAGAGTAAAAACTATTTTACAATTATAAAATATCCTTACAATGTCTATCTACAAACCATAATTACAATAAGAATACAGCTATGATGGGTCAAGCGAGAGGAAGGTTGTGAAATGCCGGATTAGCATAAAACTAAGAAATAAAATTAAGGTGTTTCGATGTAGTTTTTTAGAAGCCATACCGATATTTTTCAATAGCTTTAAAAGTGATTTTATCCTTGTCTGACCGCTACAAAGTTTTCACCAATGATTGACTATAGATTGAAATTTGTCAAAATGTAGGTTTTAGTAAAATCGATATTACTATGACAACAATAAACAAAAAAAATTGAAATTGATAAACGCCTAATTTTGCGCGATCTAGACCTGCTACTGAAAATCCAACACTAGGAACTTAAAGTTTGGTGTTTAGCAAATAACCTCCGTAAGAAGTAAAAAATTCTGTATGTTTGAATTCGACTAAAACGAAAATATATTTTAAACCTTAAATTTTCAATAGCTGTGATAGATTATTTAAAAAAGACACGTTATAAATGACTCAAATTATTCTTAAGTAGCGTCAGAATGCTGCTTAATATCATGTTTCGATGCTAGGGAATTTTGGTGTATTTTCGTTCTTGCGATCTTAAAAACTAACCCGTTTTCTCACCACCTGCCTAAGTGCAACTTCATTCAAAATTTGGACTTTTAGCGGTTTTTTTTATATCTCTGCATGAAACGACTCGAGCGAATTTTTTTAAGATCTCTTCATATAATTTTCATAATGTATATAATAATGTCTGAAATTTTCATTGACATTGATTCACTGCAACACCTTGAAATTTCAAGACAAATCTATCCTACGAACCGGTCAAAAATCTGCGTTACAACATTCACTGTTTTGACGTTATGCTAATTGTTCCAAAATAATGTGCACTATACATACCTCAATGACTAGTACATTTTAGTTTGAATTTATCGCATCTTTTGAATGTAAAACG